GTTTTTAGGGTTTTGGGAGGTTTTTCGAGTTTAGGACGTTTATGGGTTTAGTGGGTATTTAGGGTTTAGGGTTTTTAGGGTTTAGGTGGTTTTTAGTGTTTGTGTTTTTTTAGGGTTTAGGGTTTTTGTGTTTAGGGTTTTTAGGGTTTAGGGTTTTCAGGGTTTAGGGTTTTCAGGTTTTGGGGGTTTTAGGGCTTTGTTGTGTTTTTAGGGTTTAGGTGGTCTTTAGGGTTTAGTGGGTTTTTAGGGTTTAGGGGGTTTGTAGGGTTTAGGGTGTTTGTAGGGTTTAGGGTGTTTAGGGTTTGGTGTTTTCAGGGTTTTGGGAGGTGTTTGGGGTTTTGGGAGGTTTTTAGGGTTTAGGAGGGTTAAATTGCTTTTNNGTTTAGGGTTTCTAGGGTTTAGGTGTTTTTTGGGTTTTAGGGTTTGTAGGATTTAGGACTTTTAGGGTTAAGGGTTTTTAGGGTTTAGGGTTGTTGGCGTTTAGTGTTTTCCAAGTGTTTATTTGTTAAAATATCTTTAGGTGATTTGTTAAGGTTTAGGGGTTTCAGGGTTTAGGGTTCTTGGTGTTTAGGATTTTTAGGGTTTAGGGTTCTCAGGGTTTAGGGTTTTTAGTGTTAAAGATTTTTAGGATTTAGGGTTCTCAGGGTTTAGGGTTTTTAGGGGCTTGGGTGGTTTCTTGGGTGTAGGTTTAGGGTTTAGTAGGTTTTCTAGGGTTTAGGGGTTTTAGAGTTAAGGGTTGTTAGGGTTTAGGGTTCTTGAAGGTTTAAGTTTTTTTTTGTGTTTGTGGTTTTTAGGGCTTAGGAGGTTTTTAGGGTTGAGGTTTTCAGGGTTTGAAGCTTTTACTTTTGAGGATGTTTAGGATTTAGGGTGTTCAGGGTTTGAGGTTTTTAGGGTCTTGGGAGGTTTTTAGGGTTTAGTGCGTTTTTGGGGTTCTGGTGTTTTTTGGTTTAGGGGGCTTGGAGGGCTTTGTAGGGGCAGGCCTCCAAGGCGCAAAAACCGCTAAAACCTTTAATTTGTCCGGCGGAATCCGGGAACGGAGGACGAAGGATGTAGTAGCCGAGACGGACGTAATCGAACGTTTTCCGTGCGTTTTCCGAATCTGGCTACAGGTTTTCCGAATCTGGCTGCGGCCTTTTCTGAATGCGGGCTTTTTCTAATATTGGATTTCGGTTTTTTTTTTGTTGTTCTTAGTACCCGGAAACAAAGGAAGAAGAGCCTAACAGGCGAGACAGACGTGATCGCAATTTTTCATTGGCGTTGTCCGAATCTGGCTGCGGCGTTTTCCGAATTTGGCAACGGCGTTTTCCGAATGCGGGCTTTTTCTAGTATTGAATTTTTTGTACCGGAAACGGAGGAAGAAGCTTTTCGTAAATGAGACAGACGTGGTTGTACGTTTTCAGCGGCGTTTTCCGAATGTGGCTGAGGCGTTTTCTGAATCTGGCTGCGGCGTTTTCTGAATGTTGCCGAGGCATTTTCCGAATGTGTCCGTGGCGTCGTTGAATCGGGCCGGGCGTTTTGTGAAGGTGGCCGTGGCGTTTTCGAATTTGTTTGCTGGATGTGACGTTGCCCGAATGGAGATAAGCGCTGCCAGCCTGCGCAACGAACGCGTTTCGGCGTGAGACGCGGGGTTACGTTCAACAGTTTTTTAGGTGCTCGAAGCAAGCTTCCAAAAAACCTCACCTGCGAGTGTAAATACCAGTTGGCACAGAGTGCTGGCAACACTGCAAAGTCGAATCGAAGCTGCCGCCGAGTAGATTCGCCGCAGTCAGTGCAGAGCATTGAGCCGACGGCAACACTTCTTTTCGATTTTAATAGGGTCTAGAATCACACATATGCTTGATGGATTGCAGAGGCGGCAGCACTGCAAGATGTTGCAAATAAGCCTCCAACCCTGGACACGGCTTTGCAAGGAGTTGACCAACCTTCCAGGACCCGGCCAAAGCAAACTGCAGCCCTATGACCTTCCTTCGTCGTCAACTGCAGCAAGGATGTGGTGTTTGCGGCCCAGGGGGCGAAGCGGGGTGTTGCTGGGGCTTTGCACGGCAGCAGCAGCTCAGCTGGCTCCCCTCCTTGAGGGCCCCACCCAATGATCTGGAAGTCAGCTCCGCTGGCTGCTTCGGATATGGGTGCTGACCAGTCTCCCCTAAACTAGCCCGCGCAGACCCAACCCCAGCAATCTGCGTGATGGGACGGGCAATTCCATGTTGTCAAGCGCGCGCAAAGCCGTTGGTGAACCTGGCCACAGTCAAACACCCCACCTCTAAAGGAAGTTTGAACTGCAGAGCAAGGAGACATTGTAGTCCTTAAAGCAGAGGCACGGAGCGCGTGTCGACAGCGTATCCACACACAAGCCTGGGCTTCGCCTTCAAGACATGCAGCAAGCGGCTCCGCTAGTGTCGGTTTCAGAGGTCCGGTCACCTTGCGAACAGCATACAACGAAGCGGGGAAAGTGCGTCACAGCTTCTGGTTTAGTATGTCACAGACGCTCAGCAAGTTATTCTTCAGAAGTCTTCGTGAATGGGTCACCATTACACGTGTTTGGCTGACTAAAGCTCTTTTCAGGCCACTGCAACGGCCCAAGCCGCACGCCCCAAAACAAGAGTCGATGGTAATTGTGGGGGAGGGGGAGGTGGAGAGAATTCTTGGCAGGCCGACGCTGTTTTCTCCCAGCTGGGCCGGCAGAACACCCATTGGTATGCGATTCTCGCCGCTGACTTGGATCTCAGAATCCTGGCTGCCAGAATCTAGCAGCACCACTCAGGTACATAACATGGGAGTGGTCCTGGGACAGCAAGGAGATAGAGAGCGCTGCGAGCTCAGAAGTTCGCTTCCTGTGTGGAATCGCGCCAGCTCACACATGAGGTGAGCTGTCAAATTACGAGAAGGTACCGTCTGACAGAGTCAGTTGCCCAGCCACTATGTGTCCTGTGTTCTGGGAGGCAGTTGCTACCTACCGGGGCCTCAAGATGACCCAAACAGAAACCTTCACGAGCATCCTGCAGCTTGACTCGTTTCATGATGCGACGCATCCTCTTGCGGCCACCAATTCTGTTGTCTGAAAGGTATGAATTGGCTGCGAGCAGGACAGACCGGGGGGACAAAGAGGGTGGTGACTTGCCTGCAGATGAAATCAAGCCTTCGATTGCTCTTTTTTTGGAGCCACAGGTCGGGAAGCCTTTCTGGAGGCGTGAAGCTTGTGCCAGCAACATGTTAGGGTTGAGGGCTTGACTTGCATGCAGCAAGATTGTCTGAGATGATTAGTCGGGCTTAGAGTTACACACTTGCTTGACAGGCTGAGCGGGTCTTCGTTCAAAGTCCAAAGTTGCAGTCCAGGATGCGCTCGCACTATGTGGCGTCCTGAATCCTGATATCTCCTGAAGACACCCGCCAGAGCTGCTGGGCCACACCATGAGGTGGGTCAATACGGCCTCAGTCGTCGGGCAGCAGGTGATCTGGCTGGAGCCATTCACGCTTTTGAGATAGCGGTGCAGGCCAGTCCAAGCAGAGTGCTTCTGACTCCACTTCATGGTTTGGATGGTAGTCACATGTGCCCTGTGGCAGGTCCATGAGAAGGCTCAAACCTTACGCACAGAGGGTGGGCGTGCTGCGAAGAAAAACCTCAAGGCTGCCCTCTGCCAAACCAATAAAGACGCACCAATTGTTTGTTGCAGGAAGCAGAGACCATTGTAGCCTCCCTGCCCAAAGAAGACAGGAGGCAAATCGCAAGGCCCATTCGCTTGGCAACGCAGTTTGGTGCTCCCCGTAACCCCTAGCCGCGCTTTTCCTTTTTTCTTTGCAGGCGCATTGAAGTGCTTCGATGGCCAAGCGAGCCGCAGACTGACGAGGAACTCGAGGCACACGTGCAATTGCTCTGAGCAACTTTCAACGGGCTGCACTGTGTGCACCAGTCACGCATGTTCAAGCCGGAGTTTCATGCAGGCGGGCGTCTACCTGCAGCGCGCTGGTAGGTGACAGGGCAATGTCAACTGTTCCAGAGACTTATAGAGATCTGGATTCTAGACCGAAGAGCACCCCTTCCATGAGAGCTTCTTGCAGAAGTCTTTGGAGAGATTTGGACTGCTTTCTTTGTCACGAATTTCAACTGAAGCCTGTTAATGTACGCTGCTTCTTTAGATGAAGCGGCCACACTTCGAGACCCTGCAGCGCAGCTGGGTCTCCGAAAGTGCTGCAGTTGTGCGGGGAAGTTTGAGAGCAAGCGAGCCATGATCCGGCGTTAGCGTTCATCAGCCAGCTGCGCACTTCAGCTCTGCACGGGAAGAGGATTTGGCTCACAGCGCAGCTCGCAAGCTTTGGCTAACTTGAACCTTGAAGGTACGTGCTGCCCTTGGAGGATCTGCGTTGTGAAGAGTTGCAATTTATTTAAGACGGGTGATCGACTCCCAGGTGAGCCATGTAAGGAGCTGAGCTTTGGAGAGCTTACCCTGCTTCGGGACGGACTCTCTGATGTTCACATGGAGGCCTCCAACCATCACGCAGCACATGGACTACATCCAGGTCCGCTGTGTCGATGGGCACATTGTACGACACCCTTGACTGGCAATTGCCCTGCGGATTGTTTTGATTCTCTGGCTCCAGATAGACGCGTCATGAGCGGCAGCACCTTAATTCATGGCCCGTATCAAACAAGCGCAGCCTTCATTTTCCCAAAATCTGCTGCCAGTCACGGGTCTCATGCCAGCGGGGCAGAGTCAACAAGCCCAAAAGGTTGCCATCGGACGCAAGACACGTGTTTGCGTAGAGTATATCAGCACGCAATGCGGCTCACATTCCAGTTTGCTTTGCAACTGGCCCAGCCGGGGGCAAGAAGATTTTGAGTGCTGCTGCTCTGGAATAAGGCCACTAGATGAGGAGTCTGGTAGGGCCACGGTCCCAGCTGCATCACAAGATGTGCTGGCGCCCAGTTGTTGTATCTGGAAGGCTGATCATTTGGCTGCTCGTGGCTGAGTCCCTGGCCAAGAGTTGCAGAATGTGTGGCCATAGAAGCTTCTTTGGTGATGGCCTCATTCAGGCCTGACACCTGCTGAATGCTGATACAGTCCTATCTTAATCTTTGCATCTCATGAACGCATCAAGCTCGATTCGCTTGCCAAGAGACGTTTGTAAACTTTGGGGTTCTGAGCAGCGTGTTGCGAGCACAATTTACTCGTAAGGCTAGCTTGGCACAAGACAACAGTTTCATACGCAGAGCTGTGCCCCGACCAGAAAACTCTGCTCAACTTTCTTAGCAGTGTGTCATGGTAATTACTAAGGAACACAAAGATACAGTTTCTGCTGTGTTTATGCCGAAGAAGGGAAACAGCATGAATGCAAGCCGGGAAAGCTCTCTCTCAAGCCAAGAAACCTTGCATGGCAGCCGGCCCCTGGAAATGGCCACAAAGTTGGAAGATTGCTAAGCTACTGCGTTCCCATGTCCATCATCCGAGCCTGCACCTTTGGACAGCATTGCGTGGCACGAGGCCTGCAGCTTTCGTTATCCGTCTTGGCGGGACATTGTCGCTAAAGGGTGCGACTCCAGCTTCGGAGGTGCCTGGTCTCTATTTGACTTTTCGCAATCCTGAAACTTAAAACTGGAAGGTGGAGCGAGCCTCCCTGCAGGGTTTGCAGCTTCTAGCTGCAAGACTGAACCTGTGTTGGCCGCAGAAGTCGTGAAGCAGGTTTTGTAAAACAAGTCCTTCTCTGCGCTGAGATCCACTCCCTTCAGCGGGCCCCATGATCTTCCCCTCAAGCTCCATATTCAAATTGAGGACGGGAATGGTGGGCCCAGCTTTGGCTAAAGTTTCTCTCACCTCAGTAATGTCAGCAAAACCTTCACCTCATATGAAAGCATCCTGCAGGATGATCATGGCGATCCTCAGAAGGTTTTTTGCTTGCATGTGGGCCGTTCCCGTTGCAACTTGCCGCAAGCATAGCAACATTTGACCGTGTACTGTTGCTAAGGCAGCCCAGATTTATGCTCGCATGCTGCAGAACCGCGAGGCAGCAAGCTGGCATTGTGATCACACATCGTGAGCCTTCTCAAGACCACGATTAGGTCGACTTCCTCTTTGGGCTGCACTCCTCAGCACTGTTCGAGGTCCACCAGAAGTAGTGCACAGTGCTTTACGTACATACATGGAATCCAGAGTAGGTGCTTTGCAGATCTACCAACTATAGAGAAGAGGTCGCAGTGGATGCTGCCAACTCTGCGGGCGTGCTGACACTCCTTAGTGGTGGCCCGCAGCTGCCCTCAGGCAAGATTCCTCTGGCGCTCTTGAGCTGGACCCTCTCAGGTATCTCTTGGGTCCAGCCATCGCTCCTCAACTGCGCACTCCATGGACTTTTTCGCCGGACGTCCAGGCCAGAGCAGATTCTCTGTTTCAACTGGCAATTCTTTGTCAACACCCGAGTTTTGCTCCTGAGGTTCAGGATCTCATGGCTGGTGTTCTGGATGCTTATCTGCAGTCCAGACTTGAACAGCCGCAAACCCCCCCCAACCTTGTAAGTAAAGATTGGCCGCGCCAGCTTTTATGATTTGCGCGATAGCCAGCGACAGTGATGGCGTCAGTAAAATGAGAAGATGCGTCCGCGCCAGCTATTCCTGGGGCCTTGCGACAGGCGCGGGCGATAGCGCAACACTACTTCAACCGAAGGTTCAAAGGGTTTTTGCCAAAGTCTCAGCAGTTGGCAAGGAGCTTGTGCAACGACAAGAACCCCCTGCAAGCTCTGTGGCAACGGTCTGGGATGCTGGGGGCTGAAACTTGAAGTTGTAGTTGCTTAACCCGTGGATTTCTCCTTTATATCGCCAGCTACAGCCAGGCAGGGAGTGATTTCGACAAGCAGATGTGTGACGGGGCAAGCTCCCATGCACAGCGCAGCTCCCTCAGCAACCTAGCATGTCGTTGCATATGGGAGGGATTCCCGCGCCTGTAGGCTTGGGAATGGATGTGGTCGACAACATGAGTGTTGCAGAGCAGGCCGCAAACTTTGAGTACTGTCTTGAGCACGCAATGTTGAAGCATGCTGTGTTCTGAACCGTGCTATCAGGCCATCATGCCACAAATGCGTCAGCTGAAGGCTGCAGGCAGAGGGCAGCATAAGCAACGAGCTCTTTCTAGCCCTTGCTCCTGAGCGAAAGGTCCCGACTTGCTCATTGCCTGTGGTAATCTGCGCAGTGCGGAGCAAATCCTCATTTCTGCAGCGCATCTTGAATATTGCCCTTCCAATTTTGGATCTTGCTCGTGGTTGCTTCAACGTTGCTGCAGGCCAGCACCCTGGGCACAGAGCTCGGCTTTTCCTTTCACAAACAGCAAGCACAATCAGCGTGGGAGCCTTGAGGCTTCATTCCACATGGAATAGTGTTGACTGCCATGTCCACAAGGAGCGCAAGTAGTGCAGTGCCAGTGTTCTATTTGCTTCCAGAAAGGGGACCGCAGAGCCAGGGAAGCCGCGCGCTCCATCGGAGGCCATCTGGCGCCGGTGCCTCAGCTGACATTCGGACCCTGGTCACATGAGCGCTGTCAAAGTGCCAAGGAACTATGTGATGAGTCCGTTGGCATGGGAACCTTCTGCGCTGGGCTGTCCGGCCTTTGGCGTTCTGCCCAGCCTTTGTTGGACTTTGGCGTTTGATTTAGAGCGAAGGTAAGATAACAGAGCTGGGTCAGAGCAAGGTTCTGCGCAGGATTTTGCCAACGCCTACCGTGCGAAATTTAGAGAGGCCAATTGCACCCCTTGCAATGCAGCAGCACCATCATTGTCTGGATGATGAAATCTGGTTCTAGGAGCCCTTGCCGGCCAGTGCTGCGGCCGCCGCAGGTGGCATTGCTCTGCTGGCTGCTGTCCAATCTGCCAGAATCTCACGAAGACCACAGCCGATCATGTTGAAACGTTACTCTAGTGGGATATCAGGGACTGGACTAGTCGGAAGCTGGTATCCAGGGAAAGCTCACAAGCAAGTGCTTTGAGCAGGATGATCATTCTTGCCTTCCTTGATCTTGGAGCACTGCAGTCCATTCAGGCGAGCAGTCTTGATCAAACTGCCGTTCGAGAGGCGGACCTACGGAATATGTGCTCCAAATGGCAAGCTTCATGTCATTCCAGCCAAAGGCATTGCTTGCACTGGAGCAGCAGACCTGTTACGGGCTGCTGGCTTTCGACAGGGAGGGTGTCCATCTCAGGACGATTCACGATAAGGACCAGCACCTTGGAAAGTACCAGCAATCCTGACAAGCAGAGGTGTTCGCCGAACGCCTGCTACCCTGATCCAGCAAGTGCACTTGCTCAGTGTGCTCAGTACATGGCACGATATGGTGGGGTGATGGGGGAACTTTGGGCTGCTGAGGTGCAGCCTTTGGATGAGGACAGCCGTACCAGTCTGTGGCCTTCCTCTACCTTTGACTCTTCGAGACTACTCGCGCACTATTCATGAATCTTCGCCTCTTCAGCTTCGGATTCGTTTTAGGCATCTCCTTTCGCTGACAGGATCAACCGAAGATGGAGCGCTGGACATCTGCACAGATTGTCACCGTGAGCCATGTTCCCAGACCAGGCTTGTGCTCCTCTTGCCACCAATCTGCTCGGCACTGCATAAGGTCAAGAGCAGCCCTTAGTTGGCTGGCCATTGCCGACCTGGGTGCAGAAGGATGCAGATGTCTACCCTTGCAGCCCTGGGCAGGTGGCAACGGCCTGTTTGCAATCTTGGATGCTAGCTTGCAAACTTTAGGTGTTCTGAGGTCCCCAATACCTGGTGCATCACCTTGTCAGGAACTTTAATCCGATCGTTTTCAGGGTGTACAACAAGGGATGTACTTGTATCTAACATGCGTATAATGTTCAAGGCATCCAACTGCGCGAAGCACCTAGCACAAGGGTAGATGTATTGCTTCAAATTAACAATAGGTTCAGCAAATGGTTGAAGAAGCTTGCATGCAGACCCTAGATTGAGCTGCTCGGGATGAGGATGCAACCGATACTGT